AAAAAAAAAAAAAAAAAAAAAAAAAAGATAAACGATTCTTATATACGAAGAGACATAGACTAACGTATAAGACCAGACGAATCACACAGGAACCTCTCTTTTTCCATGATATTCCTTCGCCCTTTCCTTTTTCTTTTTCTCTGTGTCCTTCTGCCACTGAAAGCCGTAGCAGTAATTACCGCGACAATTAACCAAGTGACATGGTTGTGACCATCCTCTTGTGATATATGATCTAGTGGGGCAGCAGCAGCGCTCCTGGGGCCGGGATTTAGGTAACGTCTCACACTCGCTCGCTTAGTCTTTATCTATCTCGTTTATGACTATCTCCCTCTTTATGTCTTCGTTCTTTTCTTTCTCCTATCTTTTTCTCGCCTACTTATTTTTCCTCCTCCTTTTTTTCTTCCATCTCTTTTTCCACATTTTTCTCTCTCTTTCTCTCCCTCTCTCCCTTTTTACTTTACTTTGTAAAAATTGAGTGATTTTGATTAATTATAAAAAAGATTTTCAATGGATTTTCAATCAAGATTGAACGTTTCAGTTCTTATTTCTCCGGTTTCAATTGTAATTATGTACTTGATTTTATTCTTTGTATTTTATTCGTTCTATTGCTCCCCTTTCTTCTCTCTTTCTCTATATATCATTGCCTCTTTGCATATTTCTGTCTTTTTTGTGTCTTAATTATGTGTATATATGCCTTCGAGTTTTTTAACCATTATCTTGCATATAAATATATATATATATATATACGCCAAGGCGGTGATGATGATGATGATGATGATGACGATTATGAAAATGGCGATGGGATGATTGCACATTTTAATATTCATTTCAGAGACACTGTCCAAACGCGACTGCCTACAGTTGGGTATTTATTCGTTTTTCACGATTTCCGTTTCCTGTTTCCATATTCTATTCGTTCTCTGTTGCAAATGTCGATATTTTTCGAAGAGAAAGTTGGCGAATTTAAGAAGTTATCTGTTTATTAGAATAAATATATATATATATTTTTTTTTTGAACGATTTGAAAGACTCCATCGTTCAACCAACACTTGATGCCATTTGATTAGCGTGACGTGAAAAATGAAATACCACTGATACACACGTGATATGTATCCCTTTATAGTTCTGTCAGTTGGCGCATGTCCACCTGGCCAATCGAGGAAATTAGTCTGCACTCTAGTGTGTGCCCTTCTCGCTCGCCTTGCATGCATGATTAGTTTCCGATTCGAATAATTTTACGCCTTAATGATACGACAGCTTCGTATAAAACTCACTCGCTCTCTCTTTCTCTCTTTCTCTCTATCACTCTCTTTCTTTCTTTCTTAATATCCCTTAATTCACCTTTTCTCTCTCTCTCTCTCTCTTCTATTTTCTCTCTATCCATCTATCTGTTTGTCTATTTACTCTATCTATATTTTTTCCAATTCTTTGCTATCGCTATTCTACCCCTTCTAATCTCTCTTCGATCGTGTGAGAACTTTCAATGTGCCAGCTGTCATCGATGAAACTCTGTCGATCATTAGGTTTCGATCAATTTGAAATTAATCTTCTATTCGCTCTCACTCCGAATATTTGTTAAAATAATATAATGTTTCGCTAAAAAAAAAGCGGATTATCTCTTGGATAACTTTGGCAATAATGATTTTCTACGATTTTTTTCGTATGAATAAATTTGTAGGGAATGACGTATATTCTTTAATCACGGATTGATTTTTCTAATTAACGATTCTATTCGTTTACATAATAATGTCACACAACGTATCATACCAACACACATATATATATGTATATATATATATATACATTCAGTTCATCTGAATTCATCTGAATGTAAGATCCGCTATAATATATTCAATCTCCATCACGTTAATATTAAACCCTGGGCAATCAACGTGATTTCGTGTGAATTTTATTTCGTTGTATCGAAATTTAGAAAGAAATTCTTTATGCGTCATTTTTGAAATTATTAAGAAATTTCAGGATGGATGAAAATACATCGGAGGTAAATAGTGTTTGAGGAGCTTTGTAGTTTATTTTTGTATTCTCTTTATTTAGTATCCCTTATCCTGACTGTAGGAAACCTGACCGTGCTGATTGAGAGTAAATTTAAGCAAATAATACGATATAGTATATATAGTGCTGCTATCTTTCGATTCATACGTGAACGATAAATATGATAATTAAATTTTATCGAGAATGTTTCATTTAATGATTAATTTTTATTTATTAATTAATATAAAAATGAAAATAAATACAAATCTTATGTTACTTTTATGATTTTTATTTTATTACAAACCAAGATATATTAATTTATCATATATCTTCACGTGTGAATGTTTGAACAATTACCTAACTTATGTCTATAAGATGCTTAGCAGAATTCTATCTTTGCTAACATATTCTGCAATTATAAATAAAATTTCCAATAATAAATTCATAAATATTATATAGTAGAATCTTTTGTATCCGAATAATTAATAGACAAATAGAAATTTATAAGTTTGTCAATTTGTTTCAATATTTAAAAATTTTATATCATTTTTAATAAGTCTGATAACTATATATGAATGCTTTGAGAAGACATATTGTTGTTAATATTGTCAACATCATTGTTGTTAATATTGTCGTTTACTATTTTAATTATTTATTTTATAAATATTTTAATAAGAGTTTAAATTATATAAAAAGAAATTTATATTTATAGAAAAAGAAAATCATAAAATAAATTTTAATTTGTATAATTATAACAAATGATTTATAAAATTATCACACAATATTATATTATATAAATAATATGTTTTTTTAACAGAAAAATATATTATTAAGATATATTTTATTCAAATAATAAAAACATTTGTATAATCGAAAGTTCAGATACGGGAGGTTCTACTCTATTAAAAATTTACGATACAATAAAAAAAAACATCAAATAACATTTTTATTTTCAGGAAAAAATAAGGTAGACAATTTCTATAGTTACAATATCTAATAGTAATAATTAAAGCTTTGGGGTGCTATTGAGGAACGATGAATAAGATGCTTCAACTTTTACGATATTACGTTTATTACGATATTTTCATTTTACTTTTAGTCCCAGTACACGCTATCAAAGTTTCTATGATAACTCGCGAGAATACCTTGTATATTTATAACAATTTTCTAAAATTCAATTTCGTTCTCTGGTTCCTAACAAAGTCTCTTTAACCATTGATAACCATTAATCTTCCTATATTACCATTTTCCAGTCATTTCAGTAGAATATCCCTGCGTGTTTATTGACAAACATATGTCCGGGCCGATCGCTCGATTTTTACAGATGTGGGGATGATGATGATGCAGACCGGCATGGTGAAGGGAAACACTGCCTACAGCAGTTACCTCGACGGTACGCGTATTTGTACCTTCCTTGCCATCCTCTTCATCCCAATGTACATCCTTCATCGACCTATATCTACGACTTTGTCAGAATAATCTTAAAGGAAATAAATAGGGATATGCTATACAATCCCGAACTTCGGGTCGAGTCGGAAATATTCGAATAGAATCGTGCGAGGTTTCGATATTGCTCGAGGTAGCAGCTGTCTGACTTCGGTTCGACTCGACAATAATCGGACGTGATCGGCTAAAGACTTTAATGACCGAGACTTGAGCTCTTGAACCGAAATGAGACAACTGTTTTGAATCGAATTTAATATGACAGTATTGAGAACTCGTCCGATTCTACACGAATTTTTCCGACTTGTCCCTGTAAATCTCTAGAAATATATATATTTGTGAGATGATATCATAAGAAAAGATCATTATTCTGATAAATTCTCTCTGTGTGAGTCAAATTTGAGAAACGAATTATTTTTATTATTTTCAAAAATAAGAAAATCAATTGACTCAAACAGGGTTCAATTGATTTTGCGTTTAATTAGGTAAGATGGCGTAAGTGATAAAAAAGAAAAAAGAGAAATGCAAGTTAGATGTTTAATAATTCACTGTATATGATATGTCATCATATGCACTTACTCCACGGTACCTGCGTTTGAACATTTTTGACATCGTTCGATATTGTTTCTCGCTGGGCTTTTGCTAGAGCTAATATATTTTGGCGATTATTGTTTTTTAAAATGAAGCAGCAACGTCGAATTCAAGCTGGACGAAGATCGTTACACATCGCATATATACAGAATTTCAGTTTGATATAAATTTTGCTTCAGTTTTCACGAAAAATCGTCGCTTTTGCAGATATGCTAATTTTGCTAAGCACGTTAATATTAACTCGTATATTCTGTGTTTACACGTTCCTGGCTGTTACGTTTCACTGATTAAGAAACTTGCTTGTTTCAGGCTTGCCAATGATTATCGTTTTTAATCGTTATTCGATGTGCTTATATAAAACATTTTGAATTATTTTCTTCGCAATTCAAATATTATCTTCTTTATTTTCCATGTAATTTTCTCTGTTTTAGAATAGCATTGAATTTATCAAAGAGTTAATATGTCAGTTTTATTTTCAAATTTATTGATTAAGAGCTGTCAAATATCTTCAAAGTTATTTGACATTTCTTTTTCTAATTTTACTTTCAAAAAAATTTTTTTTTGTATATAATATAAAACTGCACATTAGATATTAGAACGTTCTTGTGAATTTTGTTATTTCAATTCTAGAAACAAAAGAACTCTTTTATCATTGATATTTTATAAAAATTTTGTATCTTATAACAGATATTGTACACCTATGCTACTATATTATAATAAATCTTTATTTTTGATTAATATAATGTTACTTGAATGATAATAATATCAAAATAGATTGAAATTATTTAATATTTTATTTTTCAAGTTTGTTTTCATAAATTATTCTAATCTATTAATAAATTCTTTTTATTAAACAAATAATTTATTATATTATTAAATAATATGACAATAACGAGTATATTGTCTTATATTTTTGTAATTTTTTTTTTAATCTACTACTATTGCTCTTGTAAATATTCATAAATTATATTTTTAAAAAATAATCTTGTTTTTCATCTTTATTAGCCAATAAAATTTTATTTGAAAATTGATAAAAATTGAAAATTGAAAATTGTTTTTTCTCTTCTATAAATTTTTTAATTCGATTATCAGATTCGTTTAATATATGTCATGTTTATATAAAGTGTTTTGTAAATGGATCAATTTCAGGAATTAACATATAAACAATGAAACATGAAAACAATGAATAAAATTAATACGAATATGAAATATATATAAATATATATAAATATGAATATATATATAAATATAATATATATATCATAATATATATATCATATATATCATAAATATATCAATCATTATCAATGTTTCAAAAAATATATAATTTTTTCCTTGTCAAAATTAATTACATCAGAAAATATGTCTAATTTGAAATTATTCAAATCCATTTTAATCATTTTCTTTGTGCAATTAATTTTTTAATAATTAGCACTAATGGATTAAAATGAAACACTTGATATTTATTTTTGCTCATAATATAATATTTTTAAGTTTTGAATAATTTTTTTAAATATTTCTCGCTTATTAAGAAATATCTTTGAAAAGTCGAGTTTAGAAGTTAAAACAGACACAAAAGTTGGTATAGTATATTAAAATATTGGTTATTTATTATAGGCTTATTTATTAAGTTAGCAATTTAAGTTATAAGCATTAAATGAAGAGATATTGCGTTAGACAGATAGTTCTATCTCTGTTTTTCTTCATCTACAAACTTAAATTGTTTATAACTTAATAAATAAGTTTTAAACAACATTTTTGTATATCAACTTTTCTGTTTTAAGGATCAATTCAGAATCAATTCTCGAAACGAATATATTAATATCTTGTATATGCATGTATATAGGCGTGTATTATGATTGATTGCACAATCAATTTTAGGATATATCTGGATAATTATTCTAAATATTTTTACTTCTGTCGTTCCAATATATTTCATTTTGAAGAGAATTTTTTAATCTGGTTTTTGCACTATTGATTAACATAAAAACACGGAAATAATTTTTTTTGCAAATTAGAAACATGTTTGTTTTTAGATTTGATAAAATTAAAAATAATATATTTGAAATAAATCTAGAATATATACTGATATATGCAATTTTTGTTTTACCAATACCTAGAAAAATA